AAAATGTTTCAGTCCGAAGCTAGCCAAACAAAACCCTTCAATCTACCGCTCTGTAGAGGCAAAAAGTGTCTTAGTAAACTGCAAAATTTCCAAATCCATTCAGAAACACGGTGATTTTTAAAGGAAGTTTAAACAAAGTTTCTAAAAATTTCAGCTTGAAACCTGGAAAACGAAACTCCTCAAACTTTCGCTCTGTATACGCAAAAAGTGTCGCAAAAAACTGCAAACTTCCAAATTCATTCAGAAACACGCTGATTTTTCAAGAAAGTTCAAACTTGCCCTCAAAACGTGAAATAAAGACGGTTTGGAGGAAAGTTTCTAAAAATTTCTCAGTACGCAACTAGACATAAGAAACCCTTGAAACTTCCGCGCTGTGAAGGCAAGAAAAGTCTTAATAAAATGCGAAACTTCCCAACTTACAGAGAAACACTTGAAACACAAGAAAGAAGACTGCAGGCAGCCTTCTAAAAAGTGCTCAAGACCAAACTAGAAGAAATAGAAACATGAAACTGCTCAGCGACACGAAAAGAGTTTTAATAACTTGGACAATTTTCTTGTGACGCAGTAATTTAAAATTAAACCGCAGCTAAATGATCAACAGAGTCAACTGAAAAAACTTTATTTCGTCTAAATAAATGTTAACTAAAAAAGTTCTGAACTCTGGTGCATAGAAAACATGAGACAATTTGAAAAACTTGTTTCGGGCAACTTGTTTTTCTGCGCCCAACTGTGTGTGTCCAACTCGTCTGCTCCTCTTTGCACTCGAAGAACTTCACAAAATAAGAAACGCTCACGTAGAAAAGCGGTTGTTGTGACGTTATTTTCGTGTAGATAATTGATGCCATAAACCTCTTCTTTTCACGAACTCCCGCTATTTTCTGAAACGTTCATCTGTACGTACGTTTATGTTTTGCTATTAGCTTGCGGAACACCATTTTTCACCCTCTAGTCTTTTCCGGGCCGAATTACTCCGGCATATTTTACAATTTATCATGAACCCATCTCATGGAATGATGCACGTTGAATGGCTCCCTGTTTGACAAATGCCGTGATTTATATCGGAACTAAGCCGGAAAATATGGCCCATGAATATAATCATGTGATGTGTTTAGCAATGCGATGTATTGGCCCACGTCGATTGGCAACAGTGCAGTTTTCCAGCATTTTCCAGCAGCGAAAACCGCAGGAATGGCTGGTGGAACTCCTAAAGAATATTTCAGATTAACTTACTTCAGATTTGAGAATTACATTGTCCACCGGGACAATAAACCTGGATACATTCGCCCCCTAAGGTCACGTCAACCCTTTCTCATGGGCGCCTTCATCATTCTGGAGTTTGGGGGTAATTCAATTATGAAAAAATCGATACCGCGAGCGACACAAGACCGATATTAAACTAACCACGAAACTCCGACCGAAGTTGTGAAACTAATATCCGTACCCGGGCCGTTTTCCTTTTATTGCCCGTATTGATTCAGCTGTAAATTCCGAAGTTTGTTCCGGTGCAATGTCGAAGGAAAAAAATCAAATACATGTAATAAATCCTCTTCTCCGCAATAATTTTCGTGGTAGACATCGCAACGTGTGAGCCGAAACAGAAAAGAGCTTATTCGGCCCGTATATTCTCCGGACCACTGTTTCGGACCGATCCAGCATTTTATACATGAAATCCACCGATTCCCATTGTGCGAATAATAATGGCCCTTATCCTCAGATTTTTATATTTCGTACAAAAAAAACCGCTTGGAAACCTACTTGGGAACCAGGA